CTGCCCCCCCGTCCGCCGCAGCCTCCATCGCAGCAAAGATGCAGCTGGCTGGATTTGTCCAAAAGAGAAACTTCACCCAGACTTTATCGCCAGCTCAGCAGGCTCCGGGCGGTCAGAGCAAGGCTGGAGGGAGCCCGCTGGCAGGACCCCCTGGGCACTCTGGATCTGTCCCTCGCAGCCCCTGGACTCGGGGGATGGTGCCGACCCTGCTGCAGGAGGGACGGGGCTGCTGCCCGTGCGGCCAGCTGCGAAGCCTGTGCCACTGCCGAGGACTGCCAGCCCCAAAAGAGGGTTTCCCACGTACTAATTTACGTGCCTGCCTACAGCTAGGAGTCACGCAAGCCACATCCGCACCCTTGACCCGTCTTCTCCCGCAGCTGGGATGGGGCGACCTGCTCGCAGGACTCCCAGGTCCTCTGTGCATCCCTCTCCGGGTGTCGGACACAAAGCTGGGCCAGGCAGGCAGAGGAACCTTTGGGCAGGGGGAAAACCCCGGCGTGATGCTCGTCCTGGCCCCAGTGCCGCCTGCCCCACGCCAGCCCCTGCCCTGCCCTGCCCTGCCTGCAGCGGGATGCCCAGGGCCACGATTAGCCGGCTCAAGCCAAGGGACAGCAGCTCCCACCCCTGCGATTACAGCTGCCCAGCTAATGGCTCTCGGCAGGGGGTTTCGCTGACCAGCTCTGCGCTGCTTCCCCCAGCCGGGCTTCATTAGAGAAATTAAACCAGGGTGCTGGAGGCACCAGGGCCCAAGACGTCGGCTGAGCCCAGGGGGTTGCATCACCTTTCAGGTTGTCCAAGTCCATGGAAGACAAAAAAGTACCACGGCCCGGCACAGTCAGAGCCGAGCAGGGAGATCAGAGGGGCTTCAGTCCCCCTCCATCGTCTGTGCATATCTAACCTCTCCCGGCACAGTGGATGCCCCATCTCTCCTTCTCCTCTCCCTTTATCAGGGTGGGTGATACCATTCTACAGGTGAAATAAAGCAAAAGTCGGGTGAAGGGTCCCACTGACACACTCAGCCCTCCCGCGAGCAGCTCTCCATGTAGGCCAGAGGGGCTGGTACTTAAAAGATGGGGAAACCCAAGGCACAGAGGGGAGCTGCCTGCCACCTCCGTCTACGGTACAAACATGCTCCTACAGACCCCTCTACCCCTTTGGACACGTCCTGGGGGACGGGGACCAGCTGGTTTGGCTCTTCCCAAATTCCCTGCACACCCTTGCTTGCCCATCCTAGGCAGGGAGAATTAGGGTGCTATATTTTTCAGGGTGTTGCCACTCCACAGCAGGGCTTTCACAGAGACTCTTAAAATTCCTGAAACCTGCCCTGAACATTAAACCCAAAATGTGCTGCCGTTGCAAAAGCGATATTCACTGCTGAGTGTCTGGCTTTCACCCAGGGAGGAAGGGAGCCTTATAAATCAATCCATCTTTAACCACGGGGAGAGGCTGGCAAACCTCCCCGGGATGCTCTCAGGCCCTTCGCTGCTAGCCATCGGCATGGCAACGGTCGCCATGGAAACCACCTCCTCCGTGGCGACGCATCCATGGCTGGTGTGGGGCGATGGCTGGTGTTCTCCAGCGCACCCATCCAAGCGGGTCTGGGGGCTGTTTCCCCAGGGGTGTCACGGGGAAGGAGGAATTAAACGGCCTCACGGGGGGGTAAGGAGGGGGGA